ACCACAACTTCAGCCCTTTTGATAATAATCTTAATTTTAGAAGAACTTTCGTGACTGCATTAATCCATACTCTTTGGTTCTTTCGGTTAAAGTCACGTAGGTATAAAAGTTAAATAAATCGCAACGTTTCGGGCGCAACACGAGCGTCCATCATCAGGTGGGAAACCATGTTGTGCTGCTGAGGCAGACTGTTTTTAAAAGGTTTGAAATGGGTGTAGCTCAAGGGTCATAAAGAAGTGGCCGGGGCTGTTGATGTTAATGTGATAATGATAATGTTTTTTTTTTTTACGAATCCCGTTTCATTTCTCTCGCGACTGATGTTCTCGTTCTTGGGCAAACCAAAAAAATCTCGACCCACGTTGTTGTGTTGCCTTTTCCTCACTCTCGCTGTTTGACCCAAGTTCTCTCTCGCTGTCCACTCCACGCTCTGTTCTCTCGGCCATCGTGTCACACTGAGTAGTAAAACAAATAATAAAAAACGAATGTAAAATACCGTGATTAATGCCTTTCTTACCTGAAACTGGGGGGGCGGCGGGGGGCGGGGTAAGCGAGATCGAATCACTGCATCTATGGCAATCCACTACTGGATGAGGGCCATTTCCATGCCATTATCTTAACGGGATTTACATACGCGCCTTAACCAAGGGCGCTTTACAAAGAATTAACCAGGGTATCAAAACAACGTGCGAATGTAACGGTGGTGGATGAGGTGAGTGAAATAGATGAGAGCAAACGATGGGTGGCATATCTGTGATGATGATGATGAATGGATTGAATGAATGGGGTTAATGAGTGATAGCCGTATAATGATAACTATTAGTATTATTCCAACAGTAAATGATGATGATTGGATTGAATGAATGGGGTTAATGAGTGATAGCCGTATAATGAGAATACTTTTTACGACAGTAAATGATGACGAATTGGGTTGAATTTCGCAGTAACCCCTAAACATATCCCAGTGGATGATATAATCGCCCAGGTCGACGTAGCCCTCAAAGGCTTGGGACGCATCTCAGCAGACGTTGCTAGATCTGAAATCGCTGCTATCCTCAAAAACGCTAAGAAACCCTTTAGCAACATCAGCAAGGACCAGCGTTTTCAACTGTCTAAATAAAAAAAAACAGAGATAACATTGTCATCCTCTCAGCCGACAAGGGCAGATGCCACTGTCATCATGGATAAAACCACTTACAACAACACAATTCAGGACCTTCTTAATGATGGCAGCTATGCCAATATCAACAGAGATCCCACCAACTGCCTAGCTACTAAAACCAACAATAGCATCACTAAATCGATTTCTCTAATCGATCAATCCAAGCAGAGCTCCCTCAAACATTCTGCTGCTAGATGCTAGACCACCCAGTTTTTTATGGCCTTCGAAAAATCTACAAAGTAGGTACCCCGCTCCGTCCTATCGTTTCCACGATAAACTCACCCACCTACCAACTGGCCCGATTTCTGTCTGAGACCCTGCTCCTTTTACCATCAAGACCACCTCAGCTGTACTTAACTCAGCTCACCTGGTTTCTCTAATCAAGGGACATCTCACTGTCTCCGGATGATTTGCTTGTCAGTTTCGATGTAGTCTCTCTGTTCACCAATGTACCTGTACTTGACACCATTGCAATCATTGAAGACTTGGTCCAACATAGACTGAATCCAGATGTACCAACTTTGGTAAGGCACTGTGTTTACAAACAAATACTTCAACTGGAATGGTACATTCTACAGATAAAATGAGGGTACCCCAATGGGTTCTCCCTTATCGCCAGTGGTAGCAAATGTTTTCATGGAGAAATTTGAGACAGATGCCTTCCAGACATCCACCTTACGTCCTTCCTTGTGGAAGAAATACGTAGATGACACGTTAGTTATCTGGCCACATGGCCTGCCAGCACGGATCCAATTTCTCAAGCACATCAATTCCATACACCCGTCTATCAAATTCACATTGGAAGTGGAAAAGGATGGCAAGCTACCATTCCTGAATGTTTTAATCGAGAAGAGACCTGATGGCTCGTTGGGACATTCGGTCTACAGGAAAGCCACCCACACTGATGCCTATCTAAAGCCTGACTCCCTCCACCATCCAGCCCAGAAGAATTCCCTCATCAAAACACTACATCATAGGGCCCGTTGCATCTCCGACCAGCACCACCTAGCCAGTGAGCTGGAGCACCTACACCAAGCCCTCAGGATGAACGGATACTCGGACGGTACAATCCGCAAAGCTGTCTCCCCAGCCATGCAGAGACAACCTTCTGAGGATCCAACAAAACCATCACTTTACCGTGCATAGCAGGGGTTACCAAAAATATTTCCAAAAGCTTAAACAAACACAAGATCCAGGTCCGTTTCAATACAGTACACAAAATCCGTGATTTAATCCCATCTGTAAAATATGTGATTCCTGACATGCAATACCCTGGTGTCTACAAACTGAGTTGTGGCTGCAACAGCAGTTACATTGGGGAAACGAAACGACATGTCTCGGACCGCGTTAATGAACACAAGGTAGATCTGAAACACGGTAGGACCAATACCTCTGCCGTTGCCGATCATTGTTGTAATGCTGTGGGCTCACACGAAATTTATTTTTGCAAACCTTCGGAGATTTGTTCATGAAGACATCCAGATCTATAAACACACACTTAACTTCAACCGAGAGGATGGGAACAAACTGAGCTATCATTGGAAGGACGTTATTAACCATGTAAAGTCTTAACTGACTGTGATGTTTCCATCCTACATGCCTATGTCAGCTGTTATTTCGACTCTCTGTGTCTCTCTCTCTCTCTCTATGCCTCTCTCTTAGATCTCTCATGCTCAAATAGCCGTTGCATTGCACTTTCATGCCTTTGGATTGCACTCTCATGATCACGTCTCTTGGATTTCACTCTCATACTCACAGGCCCTTTGGATTGCACCCGTTGGGTTGCACTGCCTCGTCAAGGAGGCCGCTCTTCTTCTCCTTCTTTTCTACAGTTACATGCTAATTTCTCACATTAACATCACGCTAATCCCTCACATTAAGATAGCCACTCCCGTGCCCTCTAATCTCTCACATTAACATTATGCTAATCCCTCACATTAACATAACCACTCCCGTGCCCTCTAATCTCTCACATTAACATTATGCTAATCCCTCACATTAACATAACCACTTCCGTGCCCTCTAATTTATCACATTAACATCATGCTAATTTCTCACATTAACATCGCGTCAATCTCTCACATTAACATCATGCTAATTTCTAACATTAACATCACGTTAATCTCTCACATTAACATGTGCCCTCGTCCAGGAGGCCGCTCTCCTATCTTACAGATGCGTGCTAATTTCTCACATTAACATCACTAGCCCTGGCTACTTCTTTATGACCCTTGGGCTACACCCATTCCAAACCTTTTAAAAACAGTCTGCCTCAGCAGCAGACCATGCTTTACAACCTGATGACGGACGTTTGTGTTGCGCCCGAAACGTCGTGATTTATTTTATTTTATACCTACATGACTTTACCGAAGGAACCAAAGAGTATGAATGAATGTGGTTAATTAGCGATAGCCCAATAATGATGAAAATTATAATTCTGACAGTCAATGATGATTTATGGATTGAATAAATGGGGCTAATGAGTAATAGCCATATAATGAAAATGTGAAGAGTGAGTAGTGACCGTGGTGGTGGCTATGAGGGGGGGATTAAGGGGGAGGTGGTGAGGTTAGCTGTGGGTAGCAATAAGTGCGCTTTGAGTGAGGAGTGGAAGCCTCGTGATTGAAGGTGACCGCTTAATGTCGACGGGGAAGTTAGTTCAGTGAAGGTCCTGGTAGGGAGGAAGAGAGAGAGAGAGAGCGTGGATTGAGCACAAGGAGGACGAGGAACACAGAGAGAGACAGCCAATATTGAGAACGTAGAGGGCGAGAACGCGACACGTAGAGAGAGAGATACAAGAGTGGCAAGATACGGTGGGGCAAGACCATGAAGGGTTTTGTAGACCAGGGTGAGGAATTTGAACACGGTGCTGTTTGGGATTCCGAGGGATGTTCTGGGTTCGACTCCGGCTTTGTCCAGAAGGTAGCTGCTAGAGTTGCTCAGCCACCGCACCATTTCGCCAGCACACGCCATCAACACCACCATCGCACACACGCCTGCTCCCTTAGCTCCGCATTGGCTACCAGCCAAGTATCGCGTGTGCGATCAGATCCATGCAGCTGTGCTACAAGGCTCTCAATGGGTCAGCCCCGCGATTTCTGCAGGAACGGATCCGTGTTGGCTCTCCAACGAGGTCCTTGAAATCTTCGGATCGAATTCTTCTAAGGCGGTGTCCTTCATTGAAAGGCCACTGCCGGCCACTGGTGGGCCCCTGGTGGCCTTTAGTTGCGGCCGCTGACTTGCGGCCCCCACACATATGAGTAGCAGCCCCTCACACTGATGATATTGGCGAAAGTATACCCCCTCTATCATAAGGACTCCAAGGTCAAGGCTCTGTTCCTGGAGTGATCGGACTTTTGCCACTGTGTAGATCAGAATCAGAATATGTATTTACACTGCAGGGGGAAAACAATGAGCTATAAAGCTCTTTTTCACAGATGTCCAGCAGGGGTAAGGGCGTTACAACAACAAACGATTAAAAACACGATAGGATTTAAACGTATGAGAAATGTAAACAAATCACCCAAACACATAAAAATACAGTACAACTAAACGATCCCCATCCAGCAGGCAAAAACCCACTGAGTCATTAGCTGATTTTTCTGGAGTGATCTGACCACAAATAATAGCCCAACAAAGTGCATTCAGACATGTATAGCAGCAGCATAATATGAACAATCTCAAAGCATGTTTCAAAAATGTGGTGGGAAAAACCGAGTTAATATTTAAATCACCTCTAAATTTGAAGCTTTCGTGACTGCAAGGATCCATACTCTTTGGTTCTTTTCGGTAAAGTCACGTAGGTAAAAAATAATTTTTGTTGTTTTAATTTTTACCTACGTGACTTTACCGAATAGAACCAAAGAGTATTTAAATCACCTCTTCAAAATTGGCCTTCTCCCTCCTCGTTCTGGCCCTTTTTTCCCCTGCAGCTTCCATTTAAATTCCTTGCTTTCACTTGCATGGCGGCAGTGCATTGGGGATCTACGGATGAATTGTGCCTTTCAAAATGGATTAAGATGTCGAGAAACACCAACTCAAACAAAACCCCATTTCAATGGTTCACATCGAGGCCCAGTCGTGGCATTGTCTTCAAACTCAGCAAAGGTTCGGGAACGAATTTCGATGCAAGCAGGAGGTCAAGCGATTCCAAAAACGAGGGGCATGAATTCAGAATGATGCCAGACACAGAAGCCTTTGATTATCGCAGAATGTACGATGCGTTGACTGGGGCTTTCACAAATTAATTTGTGAGCGTTTCGAGCTATTTAATTCGGCACATGTTACCGATGTATAATGATTCTCGCGAATGCATTTGATTCACATCGTCTAGCTGATGGATACCTCAATAGTTGATGTTCAAGAGTTTATCTAATTCGCTAGTTGTTGTTATAAGAGTTAACATGTTAATAACGTTGATACTGTTAAATTGTGTTACTAATATCGTGGTATTTTTATATTATATAGTGGTCTGGTATTAGTTGGAAGACTGAGTATTTTGGTGGGAAGAATGAGTGTTGATTTTGTCTACGACCGCTAGGGGCGCAAGAGGAACCCGACGTACCAGTGGGGGGCATCTGAGACGCAAGCTTCTGCTTCACGTGGACTGAGAGGCCTAGTGTGTGACGCATCTTCTCGTGTAACGATCGACCTAGCACGTGCCCACGAGTTCCGTCATTGTTCTCGACCACCGGCCACCACATGATTTGCACCAATAATAAGCAATCGATTAGCACGCGGATTTCGAGACGCGCGAATCGGCGAATCGCTGCATGTCCCGTCAACGCCACCACTGCTGCGTGAGTCCTGTGATATTCACCACCCTCTCTCTGTGACCCCCACCCTCTCCCGTTCCTTTGAACCTACCCCCACCTTCCCCCCCCTCCCCCCCATTCCACAGAATCTCACTCTGCTATGGCCACCAACGCCTCCTCAGAACTCTCCTTGTTCACGCCCGACCTCATCCTCATGGTGACCCCATTCCGAGAGCCACCCAGCGTGAAGTTCGCGGTGTTCTTCTTCACCCTGGCCATGTTCACCGCGGCCCTCGTGGGCAACTGCCTCCTGAGCCTCGTCATCCTTCGAGATCATCAGCTGCACAAGGCAATGTACGTGCTCATGGCCGCGCTGTCGCTCACCGACATCATCTCGGCGCTCAGCATCCTGCCCCGGTTCATGCAGAACGTCGCGTCCTTCAACTACATCAGCCTGCGCGAGTGCATGGCACAGATGTTCTTCCTGCACCTGGCCATCAGAATGCAGAGTTTCACCCTCACCATCATGTCCGTCGACCGCTACCTGGCCATTGGCTACCCACTCAGGTACCACTCTCTCATGTCCTGCCGCACGGCCGTTGTGGCCTTTATGGTCGCGACTGCCTCGTGCGTTCTCATGTGCCTGGGCAACGTCGGTGTCGTGGTCCCCCTCAACTACTGCAAGCCGCCGGTCATCGTCGCTCCGTACTGCGACTACCTCGTGGTGCTGTTCCTGTCTTGCGGGGACTTGAGCGGTGCCGTGGCCTACGTCCAAGCAACGCTGGCCATCACCATGGTGCTTCCTGTGTTAGTGATAGTCCTCACGTACGTGCTCATCCTCTACGAGTGCCGCAAGCCAGGCCTCCGCAGAGGCCAGCGGAAAGCGCTCAAGACTTGCGGCACCCACTTCTTGGTCGTGGCTGTTTTCTTCGCCGCTATTTTCTTTTCGTTTGCAAGCGGACTCTCGTTCCTGAATTCGCTCCCCAGGCCGCTGCGCTACACACTCCAGACGGCGCAGTACGTGTTCCCGCCCGCGCTTAACCCGGTCATTTACGGCCTTCGAACGGCAGAAATAAGGCGCAGTTTCATCAGACAGTTCCGTAGGAAGGTGGTGGATGGAAAGTCGGAGAGTCTGGGGAACGCAGGTGACTGAACTATTAAAGACATCGGAATATGACATAGTAATTCATCTAAACAGCCAACGGTGATTGAACCGAGTTGTTAAATGTAGCTAGGCGATAGTCTCAGCTCGGTCACCAGTGACCGCATGGAGATCACAATGGCATTATATTTGTATTTGGTTCTGGGACCCATTCCATCACTAACTCACACTGGCCAATCATTGTAAACTAAAGTTATACAAGCCCCATGATTGACAAGGTGTCAGGAGGTCTTCATCCAGTAGTCGGTTGACAAATTAACTGTTCATAAAATATTAACACATACGATATCTTAGCGATGTTATATATTTCACAATCGTTTGTGTTCCTATGTGTACATTCAGCATACGGGCAGGACGTTGTGTTGGGCACATAAAGTAATGTAGCCGTGGTCGTGTATGCGAATTACGTGTAATAGGTCACAAGCCAGTGATTTAACAATATATCGTCAATGTGTGTATGGGTGGTATACGTGTCAATGTGGCACAAATGTTTTGCCGTATCGCTTATATGTAAAATAAAAAAAAGCCAAACACATACGCGACTGAGGTTGATTCGCGAGAATGTTTGATTCGTGTCTCGAATCTTTAAACAACAACAACATCACACGTTAAAATTTACCCACGGTGGAGGTGACTGGGTGGCTGCGGAGCCTCTGTACTGAGATATCCTGGTGCCGGAGAACAGAAAATACGCCAGGCAGTGATTGTCGCCGGCTCTGACACTTGTGCAGCAGGTGTAAACAATGCGCGGAGTTGTACTCGCGAGATCGCAAATGCCGAGTGCGAATCAGTGGTTGCTAGGGATTTCACGTCATCACTCCACCACACCGGCCAATGAGCTTCCAGGAACACAACCCCCATGCAGCATAACAGCCGAGACAACACTGCCCCGTGCGTTTAAAGCCCAGCTGTCGCTGAAATAAGAGGCACATTTCCGTTATCAATGTGTTTGTTTTGAGGGATGGCATCGTTATTTTGCGCGCCAGTGTATTTATAAGAGTCGTCTGCAATTGTTCGAGTGTAGCGGTTAGCGCTACGCTGTGCTTCGAACCCTTGCGACCCGAGTTCGATTCCCGCTCACGGCCAACACCAGTGGAGTTTATCTGAGCAGGTCCTGGGCCCCAATTCGGCCAACTCAACCTCAATTGAATGTGTAAAATATCGCCAGCTAAGGGAGACAAAAACGGCCGGGAGTGGTTGTTGGCCACAAAACCTCCTCGTGTGTCGTGCCGGCCTTCATAGGTGCTGCTCGCTAACGTCACTTGCCCCAACAGTCTGTTCAGCCTACGCGGGGGAATATTTGGTGGTGATGATGATGACGGTGGTGGTGGTGGTGGTGGTGATCATCTCTGCTCGCTCAAAACAAACAAACAAAACGGAAAACGCCAGCCACGTCAACTTTTTGCCGACGCCGTTAAACGCTGACGCCGTTCGTGCACATCAACGCGTGGGGTTTAACCGTTGGTCACCGACCTCCCATACCCGCCCATCACCCCCCCAACCCCCTCTCCCCTAGAGCTTCACCTCCGCCGTTGATGATGACAATCGTGACCACTCCTCTAGCAATTAACGCGGTCCCTTCGCGGAGCGGGGGGATGGTGGTGGAGGTGGTGGTGGTGGTGGCGGTGGTATCGGTGGGGGTTAGGAGGGAGGTTGTGGAACGCTGGGCGTGGTGCTGGCCAACCCATCCCACACCTCACCAGCCCCCATCCCCCCCCCCCCACCCTCCCAACAGTGCCGGCCTTCATAGGGAGGCGCGTGACGCTACTCGCTACGAACAGCACTTGCCCCGACAGTCTGTCGAAGGCTACACGGGGGATATTTGTCTTTGGAGGTGGTGGTGAGGGGGGGGAAGTGATGGGTTGGAGGGAGGGGAATTTTACGTATGCGAAATCTCCCCCCTAAAGTCCCCCCCCACCCCGACCCCCCCCCGCCCTCCCTGCACCCACAGCCCACCCACCCCCCTCCCAAATCTCTGAAGGTCCTCAGTGATGAGAGATATAAAGCTGGCGCGACAGAGTGCGAGAGAGAGAGAGAGCGAGTTCAGAGCGCGCGCAGGTGAGTGCATGAATGCATAGGTGAGTGCATGAATGCGTGAACACGCAGGTGAGCGCATTAGCGCACAGGTAAGCGCATGAGTGCATGAGCACGCAGGTGAGCGCATAGGTGAGTGCATGAGTGCATGAGCATGCTAGTTAGCGCATAGGTGAGCGCATGAGTGCACAGGTGAGCGCATGAGTGAACAGGTGAGCGCATGAGTGCACAGGTGAGCGCATGAGTATGCAGGTGAGCGCATGAATACACCGTTGAGTGCATGAATACACAGGTGAGTGCATGAGTGTACAGGTGAGTGCATGGGTGCACTGGTGAGCGCATTAATACACAGGTGAGCGCATGAGTGCACAGGTGAGTGCATGAATACACCGTTGAGTGCATGAATACACAGGTGAGTGCATGAGTGCACAGGTGAGCGCATGAGTGCACAGGTGAGTGCATGAGTGTGCAGGTGAGTGCATGAGTGTGCAGGTGAGTGCATGAGTATGCAGGTGAGTGCATGAATACACAGTTGAGTGCATGAATACACAGGTGAGTGCATGAGTGTACAGGTGAGTGCATGGGTGCACAGGTGAGCGCATGAGTGCATGAGCACGCTAGTGAGCGTATAGGTGAGTGTATGAGTGAACAGGTGAGTGCATGGGTGCACAGGTGAGCGCATGAGTGCACAGGTGAGCGCATGAGTGCACAGGTGAGTGCATGAGTGTGCAGGTGAGTGCATGAGTGTGCAGGTGAGTGCATGAGTGGGCAGGTGAGGGCATGAATACACAGTTGAGTGCATGAATACACAGGTGAGTGCATGAGTGTACAGGTGAGTGCATGGGTGCACAGGTGAGCGCATGAGTGCATGAGCACGCTAGTGAGCGTATAGGTGAGTGTATGAGTGAACAGGTGAGTGCATGGGTGCACAGGTGAGCGCATGAGTGCACAGGTGAGCGCATGAGTGCACAGGTGAGTGCATGAGTGTGCAGGTGAGTGCATGAGTGTGCAGGTGAGTGCATGAGTGGGCAGGTGAGGGCATGAATACACAGGTGAGCGCATGAGTGGACAGGTGAGTGCATGAGTGTGCAGGTGAGTGCATGAGTGCGCAGGTGAGTGCATGAGTGTGCAGGTGAGTGCATGAGTGGGCAGATGAGGGCATGAATACACATGTGAGGGCATAAGCGAACAGGTAAACACATGAGTGCATGAGCACGCAGGTGAGGGTATGAGTACACAGGTGAGCGCATGAGCGCGCAGGTGAGCACATGAGGGCGCAGGTGAGCGCATGAACGCGCAGGTGAGCGCAGGTGAGCGCAGGTGAGTGTACAGGCAGGCCAGGTGAGCTGAACTCAGCTGAGCATATTGTGTGTACCGTGTTGGTGTGTAGAGCAGTGGTGTAGCGGTTAGTGCTCCACCCCACTACGAACCAGGCCATCCGAGTTCGATTCCCGCTCACACCAGTGGCGATTATCTGAACCCATACTGGGCCTTCCCTAGGTCGACTCAGCCTCAACATGAGTACCTGGTAGCGGTGTGTGGTAAACATTGCCACAGGAGAGACTCATAGATTGAACACACAGAGACCCATAGACTCAACACACAGATACCCGCAGACTCACCATACAGAGGCCCGCAGAGACACCATACAGAGTCCCACAGACTTACCACACAGAGACCCACAGACTCAACACACAGAGACCTACAGATTCACCACACAGAGACCCAAAGACTCACCACACAGAGGCCCACAGATTCACCACACAGAGACCCATAGACTCAACACACAGATACCCGAAGACTCACCATGCAGAGACCCATAGACTCACCACACAGAGGCCCACAGACTCACCACACAGAGGCCCGCAGACTCAACACATAGAGACCCATAGACTCACCATACAGATGCCCACAAACTCACCACACAGAAGATACCCATAGACTCAACACACAGATACCCGCAGACTCACCACACAGAGACCCACAGACTCAACACACAGAGACTAATAGGCTCACCATACAGAGACCAACAGACTCACCACACAGAGACCCATAGACTCACCACACAGAGACCCATAGACTCAACACACAGATACCCGCAGACTCACCATACAGAGGCCCACAGACTCAGCACACAGAGACTAATAGACTCACCATACAGAGGCCCACAGACTCAACACACAGATACCCGCAGACTCATCATACAGAGACCCATAGACTCAACACACAGATACCCGCAGACTCACCACACAGAGCCCCACAGACTCAACACACAGAGACTAATAGACTCACCATACAGAGGCGCACAGACTCACCACACAGAGACCCATATACTCACCACACAGAGACCCATAGACTCAACACACAGATACCCGCAGACTCAGCATACAGAGGACCACAGACTCAACACAGAGACTAATAGACTCACCATACAGAGGCCCAAAGACTCAACACACAGATACCCGCAGACTCATCATACAGAGACCCATAGACACAACACACAGATACCCGCAGACTCACCATACAGAGGACCACAGACTCAACACAGAGACTAATAGACTCACCATACGGAGGCCCACAGACTCAACACACAGATACCCGCAGACTCATCATACAGAGACCCATAGACTCAACACACAGATACCCGCAGACTCACCACACAGAGACCCACAGACTCAACACACAGAGACTAATAGACTCACCATACAGAGGCGCACAGACTCACCGCACAGAGACCCATAGACTCACCACACAGAGACCCATAGACACAACACGCAGATACCCGCAGACTCACCATACAGAGGCCCACAGACTCAACACAGAGACTAATAGACTCACCATACAGAGGCCCACAGATTCACCACACAGAGACCCATAGACTCAACACACAGAGACCCGCAGACTCAACACACAGAGACTAATAAACTCACCATACAGAGGCCCACAGATTCTCCACACAGAAACCCATAGACTCACCACACAGAGGCCCACAGATTCACCACACAGAGACCCATCGACTCAACACACAGATATCCATAGACTCACCATACAGATGCCCACAGACACCACACAGAAGAGACCCATAGACTCAACACACAGATACCCGCAGACTCACCATACAGAGGCCCACAGACTCACCACACAGAGGCCCACAGACTCACCACACAGTGACCCGCAGACTCAACACACAGAGACCCATAGACTCACCATACAGATGCCCACAGACTCACCACACAGAAGAGACCCATAGACTCAACACACAGATACCCGCAGACTCATCATACAGAGGCCCACAGACTCACCACACAAAGGCCCACAGACTCACCACACAGTGACCCGCAGACTCAACACACAGAGACCCATAGACTCACCATACAGATGCCCACAGACTCACCACACAGAAGAGACCCATAGACTCAACACACAGATACCCGCAGACTCACCAGACAGGGGCCCACAGATTCACCACACAGAGACCCATAGACTCAACACACAGATACCCGCAGATTCATCATACAGAGGCCCACAGACTCACCACACAGAGGCCCACAGACTCACCACACA